ATTCATTATTGAGGCCAATTGAATTTTTGTGTTGCTGTGTGTGTGCGCCTGTATATACATTTATATATGTATGTATGTATATATACACGTAAATATGTATGTGTATGAAAATATGTATGTGTGCCTAGCTAGCAGCGTGCTTGAATGAATGACGAACTGACGGGCCGACGGTCACGACGACCGCTCGCCTCGCTTGCTTTTGCTTGGCTGCCGGCTGACGAGGGCCTGGCAAGAGACTATGCAGCACGTTTAAATATGCGCATCGATGGCAGCCGACGGCAAACGAGTGAGCAACGAACGAGAAACAGAAACAACAGAAAGAGAAAAAAAACATACAGACAGCCACACACCAAATACATACTCGCCCATACATACATAGACACATACACGCATAGCCCAAAATGACGGAGTGTTGCGTGGCAGCAGCAGCGACGCCGGCAGCGACGTCGCTATGCACGTATATACATATATATGCATTTGTGTGTGTGTGTGTGTTTGTGTGTATGTAAGCCAATCTGTGTACAAGTGTGTGCACAAGTAAATTGAATGAAGAAGAAGCAGCAACAGCAGCCGCCGTTCGTGTGGCTACGAAGTTTGATGACGACAACACTTCGCCTATTGCAAAGTCTAACTGTATGCATATACATATGTATACACTCTCACATATACATATACAAAACGACGTTTGTCGCCTGCTTCGACTTCGGCCCCACCCACCAACACATCCACATTCACACACACACGCACACACAAAGGCCGCTAAACGTTTTGCGCGTTGTTCGGGTTTTTTTCTTTATGATTCTTTTTTTCGCGTCTTTTCATCGTCGTCGATTATTGTTGTTGCTTTGGGTCAGAAGTTCGTTGCGCCGGCTTCTTTGACACTCGGCATGCGCTACGTCTAAAACAAAAGAATGAGTGAAAGAGATAGAGAGAGACAGCAACAGTTGCGCTCACCTGTGCGAATCAGAACTATTGTCGTCTGGCAGTAAATTATCTTAATGTTTCGGACAAACATACATGATGCTCATTGGTTTGTTTTAAGTCACGCAAATATTTTATAACAAACATGCCCTACATAAATCTCAGCAGCGCAACAAACGTTGCGATAGCAACAGATACTGCTGCTGCTGCCGGCGGCAAAGTCGTCGTCACAAAATGAAAAGGGCGCAGATAAGATGCAGCTAACGTAGGCATTGACAATATCAATTGTATATCGTTCTGGCATCAGGTGGCAACGCAGTCAGCTGTCGTCAAAGGATGCAGGAATTGGCATTATTGTATGTTGTTTTCTCTTATCATTGCATTCTACCATTTGTTGTTATTGTGCGCGGCCATTAGAAAGCTTCAAAATGGCACAAATCATTGTCATTCCGAAATGCGCAAACAGCACAACGTGGCCAGCTACAACAACAACAACATCTGCAGCCCACGTGCGACCAAATAAGCAATAGCAAATGGTAACTTATTATTTTATATGAGTGCGTGTAGTGAGAACGAGCAGAACAGAAAGAGAGAGAGTGAGATAAAAAAGCTGCGAGAGCGAGCGAATGAAAGTGCATGACGAGCTAGAAACTATATATGTATGTATATACTTATATGCATATGTGTGTGTAAATGTCTATATGTATGTGTGTAGGCGTATAGAAAATGTATTAAGCACGTCTTCCACTGCCCCTTTTCTACTTCTTCTGTTTTAGTTGTTTTATTTGCATAAACTTTAACAAGAAGAAGAACGGCAAAAATGATAAGCAAAGATGTGAATTGTGATAATGAAGCGGAAAGCCAACTTGTTCGAAAAGTTGTAATGCAATTGAGGATTATCAAGGGGAGTGGGACACATAGAGGGATAGGGCGAGGATTTGCTGTTGTTTAGGTATGGTAGCTAGCAAGCTAAACGTTCTCTGATTGTGGGCGAGCGGATATCCGGCCCAATGGCGTCCAACCAGGGCCAAAATGATTGGGGACCACTGTAGCCAATAATTTGGAGCAGCGAACAAACAGATACACACACAAGCATGCATGTATGTGCGTGTGTGTGAAACTACAGTGAAAGCTATAGTGAATGAACTACAGTTCTTTTAACTTGCTAAACAAGATCTTTGCTTCGATTAGAATTTGTTTATATTGAAATGTTAAACTAGTCGTAAATATAACACGTCCATAGGTTTACACAATCGACTAGTTTTTTAGTCAGCCAGCGAATCATCAGTTGTGCCATCAGTCAATTCATTCAGCCAATCTCTACTCAGTCGATTTAGTAGTCAGTCAGTCAGTCAGTTTAGGAATCATTCAGTTAGCCAATCACTCAATCAATCACTTAATATGTCAGTTGATTATGCAGACAGTCAATCTAGCCATCAGTCAGTTGACCAATCAATCAATCAATCAATCAGTTTTCCAGTAAATCAATCAGTCACTAAACGGAGGCAGTCAATCAATCACTCAGTCTGTCAGCCAATTATGCAGTTAATCAGTCTGTCAATAACGCATGATTGCTTGTTCCTGTAGATATCGTATCATAGGACACAGCATACACAAATACGCAGATACACAAATCTGAACAGGACGCGTGGTGTTCCTCCGCGATATTCACCCACTGTCCCACATGCTACGGATTGAAACAAACTCTCGTATACCCACCCCACAACTCCAACTCCAGTCCATGTTAATATCATATCGAGCTATTTGCAATGCACAAAATAGCAACAACTTTGGTTAGCTACCCAATCGCTCACATCGCTTAGCCCATCTCCCATTCCCTTCCCATTTCCATTGCCCAGCCATTCGTTTCAACTGTTTCGTATCAATGGGAAAAGGCGAGCGCAGTCTCTCACTCACACACACAGGCACATGCTTAGCTGTGTTTACATAGCAAAGCGTGCACGAAACGGGGCCTCGCTTTGCTGCCGTTGTTCGGGTTGCCCGACTGAGAAAAAGACAAAAAAAAAAAACGACGCTTATCGATGCCTGTGCGTGCTTATGTATGTGTGCATGCACATGCATACATATATTGCTCTTTATTTGTGTGTATGTACGTCTGGAGTATATATATATATATATATATATATATATATATATATATATATATATATATATATATATATATATATATATATATATGTATATATATATATATATATATATATATATTTTTTTTTTTTTTTTTTTTTTATACATAAATACTATAATTTACGTAAGGGAAAACACCACAAGTAGCCCATTTGGTATTCACAAAATACGGTAAAGGCCCAACACAGCTGACTAATTAGCAAAACGCTGAGAAATCACACACATTTATACATACGCACATGAATCTAATTTTAGACGCAGCTGCGAAACTAAAGCTTTGCTTAAATACATACATAGATACATAGAAGAACAAGCTTTTAGGCTGAGAGAGTGGCTAAGAGCGCATTAGCTGATTTGTTGCCAGGGCTCAGGTAAGTGCGCGGCGGAATTTTTGTTACAAAAATAGTTGCTGTTGTTGTTGGTTTTGGAAAATGCATTCAAAGTGCGACCTTTTAGTGCTGCGCAGCTGACGCCACCGTCGCAGTTTTGTTTTTACCGTACAATGGCCCAGCTAACGCTGCAGCAGCAACAACAAACAGAGAGACACACATATACACGTACGCATTTACGAAGCGCTCTCGTGTCCGCTGTCCGCTATGTCGTCGGCAGCTGCTGTCTTGTCTGCTGCTGCTGGCGCTGCTGCTGCCGAACGAAGCGGGGCCTTTCTTGAGCACACAGAGCTCACGAATAACGAAAACTTCTTGCAGAGCATGAGATGGCCAGCGAGCGTAAAAGAGAGGGATAGATGAGTAGAGCGTGAGCTAATGAGACAAAGAGCGGGAGTGGGAAAGGAACGTGCACAAGCCAGGGCCTGCGAGCAAGCGACTGCATGCTATACATAAGTCGTATGACCAGGCAGAGGTCGAGCCGGGTGGTGGTGGTGGTGGTGGTGTTGCTGTTGCTGCTACTAGCGATGGTAGCGGGGCGGGGTTAGCATGGCGCTGCCAAAAATAGAGACGCCCCCGCACACTATGAGCTGTGCTGCCCCAAAACATACATACACACTTACACCCACACACATATATATAACAAACACTGACGCTCGGTGGCTGTGGCATATTTGACCCACGCTGCAGCCAAGGCACACAACGTAGAGAGTTAAAGCTAGAGCCAAAGCCAGCGTCTGACGCAGCCGTCGACGTCGCCGCCGTCAGCCTAGCTCTATGTGTTTGAATCGTACATGACTTAAGCTTTGCTTGCACCTTGGTCATAGTATGCGTGAATAGGGACTTCATTCGTAAGCGTACAAAATTCAATAATAATAATTATTATTTATTAGTTTATTGTTATTTATTAGTTGATTATGTTTTATTAATTTATAACGGCTTTTTTGTCTTCAACGAAAAGGCTTAAATTTAGTTCTGAGAAAAATCCTCTCTTCAAATGAAATAAAACCATTTATGATATTTGTAAATAAAAAGATAGAAAATATTGCTTGTACCAATGAAATTTTCTAATATATTTATACATATATTATTAATATTTTCCGTGAATTTGGTTAATTGAATTAAAATTGTATATGTTTGGAGCTAATTGTACCACTGTAATTGTAGTAGATGAAGCTAGCTAGCAGTGCCGCTTAGCTAGTCGATAGAAGAAATGCAAGAGGGGGTTGCAAGGTGTGTGGTGGTGAGTAAGGCAGCAGCAATTCGGCAAAATGTTCGTTGCATGTTCGTGCTGCTGCAGCGCCGGCAGTAGCGACAGCTCTATGTATTTTGTATTTCTTTTTGCGCTATTGTACACGTATATGAGTGAGTGTATGTATGTATTCGAATGTATACACACACAAAGCTGCTGCGCTGTTAGCGTCGCCGTCGACGTCGCTGCTATATATACACATACACAGTCAAACGCACACACACAGACACGCGCGCGCACTTACACACACGCACACATTTTTCAGTTGACTTCGTTGAAATAATTTTCGTAACAACGATCACACTCGTTTGTGTATTGCGAAGACGGGAGGACGTCTCGTCGCAGTCCGCAGAGCAGAAAGCAGCGTTTTTTTAGCGTCGTTTGTCGCCGTCGTCGTTATAGGCGTCGCGTCGGCGGTGTATAATCAACAAACAAAACATAAAAATATATATACATATATTTAAAAAGAATATTATATTCATATACATTGTATATAAGTGTAATAAGCGAAACAAATTATTACAAAAAGAGAAGTGATTATGCCGTTGTGTACATTTTTTTCAAGTTCTAATATCAACAATATCCCAAATTGTAAGTGAACAAAAAAATAGTGCAATATATCAATATAAATGTGTGAATGCAACTTAGTTTATATACAAATGTTTGACAGTTGCTTGTAAAAAGAAATTTGCAAAACAGAAAGCAAAAAGAAAAGAAAAAACAGGCAGTAGCAGTTGCTGCCGCCCGCTACACAGCAACACATACTATAAACAACAAAAAGTGCGCGCGAAAGAAACAGCACGATGTACAAACAACAACAACAACAGAAAAAGCAGCAAAAAAGTGGAAAAGCAAAAACAAAATAACATCAACAACATAGCAGCAAGCTGCACGTTTTGTTGTTGTGACTGTATTTGTGAGAAAGAGAGAAAAAGAGAGAGAGTGTATTCATATGCATGTGTGTGTGTGTGTGTGTGTGTGTGGCCAACGGCCGCGCCAGTGTTGCCATATCTGTGTCAGCTGAGCGCTGGCGCATGCCGGGCAAAGACAGCCAAAGAGCAAGAGTGAGAGACTGTGTCAATTTGCTGTCAGTTCGATTTGTTGTTTTTCTTTTTTTTTTTAGTTTTATTTGTGCTTATAAAAAATGTTATTATTTTTTCGCCTAATTGCAGCATTGGAAACATGAATTAAAGCTGCAAATATAAAAGTAAAAAAAAATACAAGAAAAAGAAAGTAAATAAAATATATAAACAGAGAGCGACAGAGAAGAAGAGAGAGAGCAGCAGCAGTAGCAGCCATGTCCAGCAGCGATGATGTGCAGATCACCAGCGTGATCGATGCTAATGGCCAGACGCTGCCTCTGCACGGCAACAGCTTGGGCGGTGCGCTCGGTCCCCCCGTTAAGCAGGAGGACGATGCCGAAATACGCGAATTGGCGGCCAAAATGAAGGAGCAGCAGAAACAACAAGCAGCCCAACAGGCCAGCCGTCAAGCAGCCATGCAGCATGCTAATGGTGGCGGAGTTGGCGGTGGTGGCGCAGCGGCAATGCAACCGCCATTAACCAATGGCAATGGCCAAACAAATATAATGAGCTACCTGTCTCGGCATCAGAAGCTACCTAACGGTACAATGCAAGTGGTGCCCGCATTGGCAGCCAATGGTCGTGCTAATGGTGCCATCATTGATAACAGCAACGATAAGAAATCATCGTCATCGTCATCGGGCGGCGGTCCGTGCGATGAGGAATCGATAAAAGGGCATTTTGGATGGGCGCAATTCGGAAAAGTATCGATACCCTATATATACAGACAATCGGAGAAGTATTGCTCGGTGCGCATGATTGAATTAAAGCTGCTTGGCAAGTATCTCAATTGCCTGCATCCGGACATCTATTCCAGTTGCACATGCGTGCGCAGCTATTATATAACCGATGCCGAAGCACGGCTCTTCATCGAGATTAATCACAAGCATTGCGATGGTGAATTTGGCCGTGACATTTTCACCCAAAAAGATTTGGTCGTCCGTCTCAGTGATGCCTCCAAATTCTATCAATTCCTGGACATATGCTATCGCAAACTGGTGGCTGGCAGCAAAACTCCGTCAGAGAAATGCGGTTTCATACGCATCAACAAGGAATCGGTGGTGCCGTACACCGTCCGCAACAGTCAGCAGGTGGTGCCACTTTTCTACTTCGAAGGTGAAACGGAGAATTTGAAGACCAAAGCGGAACTGCTCAATGGCTGGGATTTGGCATATTTGAAATTTTGCTGCAAAGTCCAGGGCATACGCAATGAGCTATTCTCTAGTGAAAACGTTGCCGTTATTTCACTAACCGACATCAAAAGCTACTTTCCCAATGGCACCGAGTTCGAGGACTATTGGCCCAGCAAGGTGGTCGATTCCAATTTGTTGATCGGCAATCGGGCCAATGTTAATAATTCGGTCAATTGGACCCGTCAGCCATCGGCACCGCCACCAAAAATCTCTGCCAGTGTCAACAGTAGCAGTGCTGTCAATGTACAAAAGTCGCAGCAGCAGCAACAACAGCAGCAGCAACAACAACAGCAGCAACAGCATTCGACAGCCGCCGCCGCCGCAGCGCAGCAGCAGCATTTGATGAAGCAACGCGCTGCTGTCGCCGCCGCCGCCGCTGCCAACGGCGTGGCCAATGGTAGCAACTTCCCATCGGCTGCTGCTGCAGCGGCTGCAGCGGCAGCATTCAATACGCACGCCGCGGCAGCAGCCATGCTGCAAACGCAGGGAAATACTCGCATGCTGACTCAAGCCACGGTCCAAGCTCTAGCCAGCGGTGGCTGGATGAATAGCCAAAACAATGTGCCGCAGCTACATGTCCAAATGTTGGTGAGTAATTTTGAATAGGGATGTCAAAAGATATTGACGCTGTATGCGTGTATGTAGTTGGGGAGCATATTTTATTTTCTTTACGATTTTTTTTGTACATAATTAATTAAATTATATAGAAATTCACAACTGTATCCTTATCACATCCAACGTGTACCATATACCATTGGGGTACACAGAGTATTTTTTTGGTACAATTGTACCACATGTGCGCAGCAAAAACACATCACATCACACTCTGGCATCACTGGCCTATGAGTGTGCTTGTGTACGTGCAGGCAAAAACAGTTCATTAATAAATGATTTAAAGATTAGCGCTTGTTGTTATTATGACAACATTTGTTTTTCTTTTATGCATTTGTTTTGCAGACAAACATATTTACATATATGAATATGTTAGCTTATATATATATATATATATATATATATATATATATCACATAACTATTTGTCAAATGTGTAGTTCATTTATTTGACCGTTAGTATTGACTGCTAAAATATGTCATTCCACTCTGAATATTGCAGAGTATGCAAAAAGTGCGTTTTGCAATGAATAGTAAGACTGCTAGAAAAATCAAAGAAATTAGAGTTCATAGATAAATCATAGATAAAAGTAAATAAAAACTGTTTTTACACTAGCTAAAAAAATAATGAGATAAATATTTATGTATTCCAATATTTCATGATTTATGTGTACATCTAAAATGGGGCATAACAATTTTTCTTCAACGGCAGACAACATATGTTCTAGTTATTCCTTTTTCTCTACCTATGATCAGAAGGAAATTAAAAAACATCAAGTTCAAACGAATCAGTCATGCTAGTGAACTGTTGATCGTTTGAACTGTGTTACCAGTTCACTGAGTTCAGCTGTTTTGCTTGTAGCGCAACCGTTTGGATTGTGATATTTATCAATGAAAGGATTGTGTTTACTCGTGCCAGGCTCTCTAGCTCGATAATTTGAAGGAAAGAACAAAAAAATGAGTCAGCAGCTCTGCCTTGTGTCCTCATGATAGCGTTTGTATGTGTGCATGTGCAAAGGAACAGACAATTAAATAATCAAAGCCTGTCGATCATAAGCATAACTGTAGTATAAAAACAAAAGAACAGCATATTTAGCCACGTCTCTGCAATCAACACATGCACAGATAATGTAAATAATGTAATATGAATGTGTGCATGTATGTGTAGGTATATTTAGCAGTTTTTTTTCTCACAGTTTGGCAATACAGCAGCGGCCCAGCCGCAGCAGCTTAGAAACTGGGTCATTCAGACGTACATACACACATGCATATATATGGGCTTGCATATACTCACACATGCACATTCATACATAGATTTACGTTATGCTCTCGCTGTAGTTAAAGTTGTTTGCCCGAGCAAATATATGCACACGTGTGTGTGTATGTGTGTGGTTGTGTTTTTGTTCTGTGCTTGGCAACCTGTTGAGGTTTATTTTATCTCGTACTCATTCGCTCACATGAGCTTATTACAATAATTTTTTTTTCACCATTCTTATTTCTTTTTTTTTTCTCTCCTGTGTTCTATTTGCAACCTGTAGGCGCAACAATCGCATGCGAATGCAAATCGCGGCGGCTATCGAGAACATATAAACAACATGATACTGGGTGGCAGCAGCCGTCAGCCGTATTCTTATAACAATCCTGCGATTTCGATGTCCTCCGTGAACAGTCACAGTGGCGGCGGTAATGCGCCGCCACCTCTGGTTCGTTCTGCTGCCGGACAGAATGCCAATCACATGTAAGTATTGACATGCAATCGATGAATCGATTGTTATCATTTTGTTGCTATCGATTTGTAACTGCGCCGTTTAAAACTTAAAAAGTTAATTAATTAATAAAATAATAAAAGCCATTTGCAATTACAGTTACAATTAGTTTTTGCTATTTACTTTGATTTTGCTTTTCTTTATATATGAGTGTATATATATATATATATATATATATATATATATATATATATATATATATATATATATATATATATATATATATATATATATATATATATATATATATATATATATATACCCAATATCATATTTATTGATTATCAAAAAAAAAAAAACCAAAACAAATATTTTTTTGCGCAGAAATTGTGTTTTTCAAATTTTGTTGTAATTCGTTTATTATGTGTACATGCATACATTACTTTTTCACTCTAAGTTAAGTTGAACATTTTTCTACCATTAGGGTGCCACACGATATAAGAACAAAAAAAAAAACCAAGATAAAAGCCGCAGAATGTGGTAATTCTTATTTGTTTTTTTTTTTCTAATTTAATTTTGTTCTCTTCTTCTATGCACCAATTGTTTTTTCATCTTAGTTGTAAAATAAAAAAAAACCTAAAACTTGAAGAGAAAACAGATTACCGAAATCGGCGTTTGTGCACGCATTTTATTTAATTTTAATACAAATTTCGACTGTGTTTACCATTTTTGATAAATAAAAAAAGTCTATATCATGTTATGAAATTATGAAAAATAAGCATTAAACGCATATATAACTTATTTGCTACAATTCCGTTTGCCCTTTTACCAACCTCACGTTAAAAAAAAAAAAATAAAAAAAAAAATAAAATAAAAAACAAAAAGTCACGCTACATTATTTTTCGTAATTTATTTCCAACACGCAAAACAAAAACAAAACAAAAATTAATTGTAATTATTGTATACAAAAAAAATCTTTTCCATGTTTTTCTTATTGTTGTTGTAGTAAAAAGAAAGAGAAAAGAAAAAAGTAAAAATATATATAAACGCTTTCTCATTGCATTCGATATTTTGTCACCGAGGAATAAGTATATATATATATAATATGTATATTATATAATATGTATATTTCACTAAGGGCGTCACTGCATATTATGTTTTTCAAAATATATATCCGAAACTGAAACAAATTAAAAACATATTTTGTCTACTTTCTCACAAGCTCTTTTGCATTACTAACACAGCTATAAAAAAATGAATTTGTTCAATATGGCATGCATTAGGGTGTCCATCTGTTTAAATACAGTTTTTTTTTTGCTACACAGTTATATAAAATGTAATAAGGGTAAACGTAATTAACACAGGACACGAAGCAGCCACGCACACACACTCACACCGACACATACACGCACACATACACACACACATATATATATATTTATATATACACATATTCATTTTGTAGTTTTTATATGTAGTTTCTTCACTTTTTTGTAGTTTGCATGCCTTGAACTTTAACGCTTTTTACGACAATTTTCTTAATTTTGATGCTTGCTCTAAAAAAAAAATTAATGGTGTCTACTTAGATATTTTCACTTTCTTTAACTTTAATGAGTTTAATGTGTTCGATGAAACGCTAATAGAAGAACTACAACATATTTTGAAAAACATGAATCCGCATTTAAAGCAATAAACAATATTTTTTGTTCTATAAAGAAACAATGTTTATTTTGATTATATATACACTATATATATATATGTTTGTTTATTATGAAATATTGTTATTGCTAATCTCTTATCGATATACAAATCATTTCATATATATATATATATATTTATATCTATATACATATATATCTATATGTATATTTTTATATGCAACTATACGTATATACATGCATACATTTGATCTTATGGCTGTGTGTACTGACTACCCCTAACTAATTTTGTCGCACTCGAATATGATATCGAAAAGAACAAAAATCGTAACTCGAACGTGAATCGAATTTACCACCAAACATAAAATTAAAATTAAAATAAAAATAAAATTAAAATAACTAAAAGCGACAACAACAACAACAAAAACAAAATCAAAATCAAAACCGACAGAAAATCGAATCACAACAAAAGAAAAAGCAACAACAAAAAACAAATACCGAAAACAAATGAAAATGGAATTTTAACAAAAAATTCTGGTGACAGGTATCCCACTACCCCCTATGGCAGAGAAACCAACAACAATCCACAAAGAACTCAACTACAACCTCAAACCCGGCCACAAGATATCAATCGAATTAACAAGAGCCGCAATCTAAACCAACTGCACAGAGTCAGATATCTAAACTATCCCCATACACAATGAAGAGCAGTAAGAGAAAGGGAGACAGAGAGCGAGAGAGCGAGGTAGAGAGACAGGGAGAGTGACAAAGACAGGGAACTGAGATATCAAGATAACATTATATATAATGCGTGTACAAGTTGATATAAATTTGGCAGACAAAATTCTCGCAGGCAAAATGTATTTATATATTCATATATTTTTTAAAATTATACATATATATACATATATATATATATATATATATATATATATATATATATATATATATATATGTATATATATCTATATATATATATATATATATATATATATATATATATATATATATATATATATATATATATATATATATATATATATATATATATATATATATATATATATAACATAGAGACTTGAAGCCATCAAAGGCCACATTAATGTACTTTAAGAAACTTTGATATGCCAAAAATCAATGAAGAAAAAATAAGATAAAAAAAAGCTGTGAAGCTGCAACTTGCAAGTTGCAAATAAATTAAAGAAATTTCACTGCACACACACACACACACATACAATCATTGAACATGTTAATTTCGATGTGTACAGAATACACATACACATACACATACACATACACATACACATACACATACACACGCACACATATATACACACACATATATACACACACACATATATACACACACACATATATACACACACATACACATATACACACACACACATACACATGCATACATACACGTTTAACGTTCAGGGATACTTAGTAAAAAATAAATAAATTAAAACCAAATACAAAAGCATACTGTTCATATAAGTGTTATATTTATAGTGTTTTGATCGAATTCGTTGAAACAAGTTGAATCTTAATTAAGTAGGGCAACGCTTGGCTGATAATATTGGCTGCAACAGCAAGAAGATGAGCACGCAACGTTGCAAATAATCGATAAAGACTTAGCGATAAATGCATTTGTTTTTTTTTTTTAAATAAAACAAAAAACAGCTGTGAGTGTGTGCGTGTGTTTGTTAACATTAAAGTATTGTTAGGCGCGTATCAACAAAATTTGAAAAATGCTTGAAAAACAATCAAAATGAGAAGAAAAGAAAGAAAAACAAATACAATTATATATATATAGAAAAATTAAAAAAAAAAAAACTAAATAAATAAAAAACTGGAAATTTTGCAGCCAAGCTAAATGCGACTCATGTATTGTATATAATGTTTCTAGGTCAAATGTCGAGCAATCACTGGTGCAACAACAACAACAACAACAGACACAACAACAGCAACAACGACAACAACAACAACAACACCATAGCACATTTAACCATGCACAACAACAACAACAACAACAACACTCCCCAAACACGCACAGTTCACGTGGCCATCATGGCCATGTCCTTGCCAACAATAATAACAATAACAATAATAATAATAATACGCACAACAACTCCTCCAACAACAACAACAACAACAATAACAACAGCAGCTCCTCAAATGCCGGCAACAGTGCCTCAGCAGCTGCTGCTGCCGCTGCCGCTGCCGCCGTCGCTGCTAACATGCACGTCCTGCTAGGCAGTCCCTTCAATTATAATATGCCGTCAACTCGTGCCGACTATACAAACCTGGCGCTTTGGAACCAACTGACGCCCACACAGCGCTTGATTCTGACGCAGCAAATGAAGGGTGCCAACGCCGGCTCCAGCGGTGGCGGTGGCGGTGGCAGCGGCGGCAGCAGCGGCGGCAACGCGTCACCGAAATTAACGCATGGTTCCACATTAGGTGGCAACTTTCCGGCGTTGCCATCGTTGCCACTGGACACCGATCTGATCACAATGCTCGACTACAATAATCCGAACAAGCAGGCGAACAGCAAGAGCAACAGCAGCAGTGGCAACAGCGGCAGCAGAGCAGGTGGTGCATCGAGTGGCACCTTTACTAAGCCCACTGTGCCGCCATTAATATCGGACGAGCATCATCAACAACAGCAGCTACAGCAGCAGCAGCAGCAGCAGCAGCAGCAGCAGCAGCCAGCACCACCAACTGGCAGAAAGCAGCGTGCAGGTGGTGCTGGTGGTGTCACTACAATACCCTTGAACTCCACTCAAGCATTGGAGGATTTCGAGAAGAAGTTTAATATGACGGACGAGATGCGAGCCGTAATACACAAGGTGATAGCCAATCCAGATCTCTCCACCTCCATACAGACCAATGCGAACAACAACAACAACAACAATAGCAATAATAATAACAATAATAATAATAATTCACATCCGCTCAACGCGTACATTTCGCCACCCATGTCCCCGGCGATTGGTGGTGCAAATGTGACCACCTTATCGCTGGCATCGAATCCAAACGTGACCATCACACCGCAGTTGCCGGGGCATTTTCTGCACTCGCCGTCCAGCTCGTGCTCCAGTTCGAGTGCGTCCACGACGGCTGCCTCGCCGCTGGGCAACAACAACCACAACAACAACAACAACAACAACAACGGCAGCAATGGTGGCGGCGGCGGCAATAGTTGTGTAAATGGTGGTGCGGGTGGGGCACGGCAAAAGAGTGTGATATGCTCAACAAAATCAAATGCATTGCCGTTGGCCATATTGTCGCTGGCGGGGAGTGGCGGTAACGTCGGTAGTGGGGGTGGCAGTGGGAGTGCCAGTGGTGGGGGTGGTGCGCGTCACAAACAACAACAGCAACAACAATCGATTAGCGGTTACGGTCGTCAGTCACACAGTCATCAGCCATTTAGTATCAGTGGTGTTGCTGGTGGTGGCAATTGCCATTTGGATATTGGCATTGCCAGCACCACAATCACGCCCAGCACAACGCCCACTGATGTTATCGATTTGTCTTCATCCCGAAGGTCGCTAGCTGCCTCAACATTCCATCAGCAACAACAGCAGGCAGCCGCAGCCGTGCAGCAGCAGCAACAGCAACAGCAGCAACAACAGCAGCAGCAACAGCAACAGGCTGTCGCGGCACAGCACCAGCGCATGTCCGCCGCATTGGCTCACCATGCCCAGCATCTGCAGCAGAATGGCGGACATAGTGGCAGTGGCAGCGTGGGCGGCGGTGGCGGCGGTTCATCTTCCTCGAATGGCGGCAGTTCGTCTGGCGGCAATAACAGCGCCAACAGCGCTTCGATGCATCTGCAAAGGCATGCGGCACTGGCGGCCGCTGCATGCTCCAGTGCGTCCGGCGATGGGGCACATCGGTTGTCTGTCATACCGGAGATATCCACCAGCAACATGAACCCAACGCCGTACAAGGTGCGCAAGGTGTGCGTCGACAAGCATCTGGTGCCCTGCATCAACATGAAGGCCTACAATGAATCCGAGCAGCTGATGACCCTCACCGAATTCCAGAAGAACTTCTTTCCCACTGTCGCACTGGATCATTGCAAGCGGCTAATCGAGGCGCTCGGCGTTGAGCTATACAAGGCGAATCGGTAAGTGGCCCATACACATATAGATATATATTATAGTGGCGAGTAAAGCAAGGCTTTGAAGTATATCTATTAGCGAATAAAGTTGTTGAGAAAGTGAATAGAGATGAATGAACGAATGAGCAACGAGACGAACTAGCGATGAAGTTGACTAATATAGACAAGTTTATCAGGTATTACAGGTAACGAGTTCGAAGTAGCGAGTAGACGAAGTAATCAGTTGAGGCAAGTGGCAACTGAAAATAAGCGATAAATGTTAGGCTAAAACTAACGAGTAGAAGCAGCGAGTAAATAAAATGACTAACTAGTGCAACGAGATAGTTTAGTTGGTGCCACGGTATATACATAAGTATGTATACCTTACGATAGTAGCGATTAGATACGAATAGCTGCTGGAGAGTGAAGTAAGCTAGGGTATATAAGTATACCAGGATATATATGAATGTGTCTGAAAGTAGCGAGTGAACGAACAAAAAGGCTAACGAGAATGATAGCGACTGCAACACGATTACTAATTGCAAAACTAACACTCTCTTCCCTGCCCCCCTCTCTTTCTGTGTGTGTCTTCCACACAGGCGACAGGTGCAAATACTGATGGAGTACGATCGTTCCTACAATGAGAATATGCCGCTGGTACAGGTGCGCGACATCATTAAGTACATGACGCAGTTGACATTCATGACACGCCAATCGGAGCAGCCGCCGTCGAAGCGCACACGCACAAGCTAGGAATTAAGCTGGGGAGCACAACATTTGCCAACATCAACACCAACACCGACAGCAACAACAACAACAGCAGCAACATCATCATCATCAGCAGCAGCAGCAGCAGCAGCAGCCACAGCCACAGACAACAATAACATAATGACAACAAAAACAACAGCTACAGACAAACAACATAAGACAACACCCGCATCTCATCACATGGCTCATTTGGCACCGCCACCAGCACCACAACAACAACAACAGCAACATCAACATCAACATCAATTTCAACTTCAACATCAACATCAGCTTCAGCATCAGCATCAACAACAAAAACAACAACAGCAACACTATCAACCAACAGCAACACACAGCAGCAACACATACGAAATGTTGTACTCCCACAACCAACAACCGCACCGCCCGCACCCGCCGCCAATTGAGCTGCGCGCAACACAAGCAACAGCAGCAGCAGCAGCAGCAGCAGCTGCTGCAGCAACAACACGCCAGCAACAGGAGCAACAGCGCCAGCTAAAGAAGCGACAACACGCTAGAAGCGGTAATAGCACCACCGGCAACAGCACCACTGCCAGCAGCAGTAGCAGCTGCAGCAGCAGCAAAAGCAATCGTACCGCTGCTCAACAAATGGCCGAGGCGGAGCATGCTTATTTGTCCACGCTCTATGGCAAGGCAGCAGCTAACATGCTAAGTCCGCCGCTGAGCGGTGCTCCTATTGCTGCACAGCAGGAGGCGCGCCGTAGCAGCGCCTTTGACTGGAGTTTGGGTACTCATCAGCAGGATGCAGCAGCAACCCGTCACCAGCAACAGTTGCAGCAGCAACAACAACAACAGCAGTTGCAGCAGCAGCAGTTGCAACAGCAGCAGCAACAACAACAGCGAGCACGTCGCGGTGCACCACTAGAGGCGGCCAACACGCGTGTGGCGGCTGTGGCAGCAGCCGCCGCGGAGCGTCAGCAACGGCAGGCGATCATGCATCGCCGGCATAGCATTTGCGCCGCTGGCATTGCCAGCCTGTCGCCTGCTTCGTCCACGCACTCGTCGTCGACGGCGGCGTCACCGACAGCAGCTGCTGCCGCATTGGCAGCAGCCTCCTATTACGGCGCCTTCTCGGCGCCCTACCATCATATGAATGCAGCGGCAGCGGCAGCAGCAGCGGCAGCGCATCATCATGCGCACGGACAGCCATCGCCAACGATTTATCCGCCAACGCCGCCGCCGTCGGCGCCCTGGGTGCATCCCTGGTATGCGGGCGACGCCTTCTGAAAGGACACGCGCGAACGCACGCACTCACGCACGCATGCACGCAAATGATACAATGTAAATTTATAGTCTATACCTAAGTTTATTTATTAATTTGTTTCAATATAACAATAATATTTTTTTTATTTTTTTTCCTAGCTTGTAAGTAGGTTAACTAATTTTCTTGGCATAATATGTCGCAAAAAGTAAAAGTAAATTGTTTATCGATAGTTACACGAAGCGAAGTAAATATATCTAAATATATATATATATATAAATATTGATGACAGCGCCAACACTAAACCCAAACCAAACTATTGTTAATTTTGCTATTTCGTTTGTGTTGAAAAAAAAAAAACAAAAATTTCAAACTGAGAACTCAAAGAACTGATTACATTAAAACCGCCACTTAAACAAAACAAACGAATACAAAATAACTTAAGCATTCTTCAAGGTCAACACACACACACACACACACACACACACACATTGAAAAATTCGCTTCGGTCTTAAATGCGCGCGCTGCCCGCTCGTAATAGCAAAAGAAAAAAAAAAAAACAAAAAACTATATATAATAATAATAAAAAACAATTTACTGAAAAAAACATTTACCGACTGCATAGTTTATAAATTAAATTCATTTTTCATGTGTTTACGCATAAACAAATTATATAAAGTCATTAATATGTAATTCTAAGCAAGAAATTCAATTTCTTGCAAAAACTACTCGTAAACAAAGATAAAAAAAAACAAACAAAACAAAAAGAATATGAAAAATATAATTCAAATTGTACTATAAAGAAATTCATATGCAGTTTGTGTCGAGTTCTCATCGTCACAAACAATGTTAAAATATGTTCCATATAAGCAACAAACAACTACTTATGTACTTTGTAAATTAACAATATCCAAGTCTTAAAATTTATTATAAACCAAACACAAACACACACAGACACAGACACAGACACAGACACAAAGAAACATAAAAAGTATATATGTTAAAAACATACAAAAAATAATATTGCTTATGTTATATATATACATGCTTATATATATATATATATATATTTATATAAGTATATATATAAATATATGTGTATATATATATATATATATATATATATATATATATATATATATATATATATATATATATATATATAATATATATAATATATGTATATGTGTAAGTTATATAAATAATATCCGTTTTATGGATTATTTGGCAAAGAACAAGCTAAACATATTTATTTGTATTAAACATTTTTTATTCTCTTCTATATATATGTATATATATGTATATGTATATATATGTATATGTATATATATATATATATATATATATATATATATATTTATATATATTAGACTATACTAGACATATATTTTTTTGTGCTGTTATTAAATTAGATTTGGGGGGAATATGAATTTTAAGAGATTTCAACTTTCGTTTCAGTTTTATACTACACACACATGCACACACGTATATATATACATATATACATACATACATACATACATACATACATACATACATACATTTATATATTTTTATTGTTAGTTGAAGCCGTCAAAGTATTTATAAAACACTATATATATATTATTTTTTTCTTGTTTATTATTTTTATTTCAAGACCAGCAAAAAATAAAATTTACTAAATGAACTTGCAGAAAAATTAAGCAAAATAAATTTAAAAAAATGAGAAAAGCTAAAAATTATATGAACCATGTTTATTAAATTGAATTGTTTGGCGGGTTTCCTAAATTAGGCTTGGGTGGCAATGCTGTAAAGTACATGTGTTGCAAAACGTGCAATTTAATATCGATATATATATATATATTTATATATATATATGCATATATCGATATATTGCCTCTAAATGCATAGCTTGTTAAATGCAACCCTGTACAGCGGCCAGCCAACAAAACATTCATATAAATAATAATAATAATAAAGCGCAACGCACGGCCCCGAGGCGTCGCCATACAACGTCAACGCAATGGGTTTTCCGCGCATTCTCAGCAAGAACAATAAAATTTATACAAAACTCGGTGAGTTTTGCCTGTCGGGCGATAGCTTCTGGATCGTCTGCCACACATGCCAGGAGGAGCTGCAAACACAGGACGCCTTCTGGAAGCACATCCAAGATGAGCACAATTTTCTGCACGGCCTCGCCAAGGTAAGCGCCAGAGCAAGAAACGAACTGTGATCATAATGCTGACATGCTTCTGCATTGCCTTCTCTTATTTGTTTGCTTTCTTTTGTTATTTTGGCGCCCAAAATGTTTGTTTTCATATGTTTGTGTTTGTGTAAACAGGAGCACGGACGCAGTTCCAGCTATTGTTTGACGGATGTGGAGACGGCTGGAACAAGTGGCACAACAACGTTGCCAACTAGCATGCCCATGCCGCTGGCCTTGTATCACTGCCCCAAGTATAGCGAGGATGAGCAGGAGCAGGAGCAACAGCAGCAGCAGCAGCAGCAACAACAGCAGCAACAGCACCAACAGCACCAACAGCTGCAGCTTCAACAGCAGCAACAACAACAACAACAGCGGGACGCGGCCAAGGATCTGGCTGATCTGCATGCTGTGGCAGTTGCGGCTGCTGGCGAGCACAGCGCACGCAGTAGTAGCAGCAGTGTCGGAGGAGGGAATGGTGGCGGTGGGGGCAGCATCGATATCAAAGTGGAGCCCAGTAGTTTGACTTTGACGTCAGAAATGCAGGTGGCAGCCGTAGCCGCAGCAGCAACAGCAGGGAGCAACGCAAACACCACAATTTATCATTTGTCGCAAGTGGTGCCGGTGCCGGTGGCACCACCGCCGCCGCCGCCATCAACGTCCTGCTTTGTGAATGCGGGCACAGCGACACCAACAACGAGCACAACAATAACAACAACAGCAACGCCACCGCCGCCACCACCGTTATCGCATGCCGCACTGGCCGGCCCAGTGGTTGGCAGTACGAATGTTAATGTTAATGTGAACGCGAATGCTAACGCTGCTGCGGCTGCTGCGGCCGCCGCTGTGGTGCTGCAGCAATCATGCATGCCACTGCTAGCCGGCGGCCAGGAGCTGATGCCGAAGGACTCGAATAGCACAACGGCCAGTGCGAGCAGCGCCGTCTCTTCGGACGATGGAGAACGTTGGTATATCTGCGATTACGACACCTGTGGACTGAAATTCAAGTACAAGTCGCGCATGGAGCTGCATCGGGTGGTGCACAGCAAGGAGCGGCGTTTCAACTGTGATATGTGCAGCGCCTCCTTCAAGCAGTCGTGCAATCTGTCCACGCATCGGAAGAAGAAGCACATGATAAGGGGCATAAAGAGCGAGCTCCTACCTCAACGCTTCTAATGTGCAGAGCTTTACTCTTCCTCCCCGCTGCCCAAGGACCAAGTGCAAAAACGCGCCCTCCCCCAACCACCCGACACATCCCATTCAAACCGAAATCCCATCCATCTAGGCCATATTCTAATATATACTTTTTTTTCCTTATGTTTCGTTCATAAGTTTTGCAATTTTTTTTTGTTTTAGTTTGTTCAGTTTTGAAACGTTATAAATATTCGAAATAAGTTGTATACCTAATGTATACATATATATATATATATATAAATATATATCTATATATCTTAAGTTTTAGTCCCTGGTCCCGCCCTCCCACTTCCTCTCCCACTTAGCGTTAAGCATATGTTTAAGTGAGGTTATGTTAATCTCTATGGGCATAGGAAATTGGTGTACTTAAGCCGATTTTTAGACTGTGCATTAACATATATGTATGTATGTATGTATGTATGTATGTTTTATATGTGTATGTTTACATACCTTATGTTCTTATAGCTGTAAATGCAAATTTTTATGTAGTCGTTAAGCAAAGGACTTTACCGTTAACAATTAAGCGTGTATTTGTAAACAGCCAAAACACAAAAGTGAAATGATAATGAGGATGAATCAAAATGATGAATAATAACAGTTAAACAAACCGTTAGTCAGTTGTTAGCAATTACATAACGTTACAGTTTTTTTATCGAAAATATGTCAAACAATGCGATCAATCCAAGCAAAAAAAACACAACAAAATACATACCTTCTGATTGTTCAGCTAACGGTGCTTGCTCTCTTTTAAATTGGTGCTGCTAAATATCCCATTTTCAGTTTTATAAAACTTATCCATTTTTATTAATTTCCCCTTAAAAGTGCTCTAAAAATACTGGCTGGTTTGTGTCTGAGCTGTTAATTTTCATTTTTATAGAACGGTATTTTTAAGTATTTCCTCTTTTAAGTCCACTCTTATACTGGCGCTGCAAAATGTTTTAGTTTATTTCCCTTGAAAAGTCCTCTTTCTTTTCACTATCATAAAATACAGGCTGGCTTGGGTCTGAGCTGTATGGTTTCAGTCTATGCTGAATGTGCGGCGTGTTTTTAGTACTTGACTTTCAGCTATTTACCAATTCGCCGGATTCGTGTCCTAGCTGCTATAAAATGTAGCACATACATAAACCACAAAATGGCCGCTGCTAGCAAGGTCACGTTTTTATTTTAAATATGAACATTTTCTTCGTAAGTTTTTAATGTATTCCGGTGTCTTTAGTGCTAACTTATTTTCCTAACACAAATTCGTTGAACTAGAAATAGTTATAGTTTAATTGTTCAAAAATCAAATCAAGCCTTAAAGAGATCCTTAAACAGTATGTCTCTTATTGACGTCTAAGTGATCGACAGTAAATGTTATTTTGTAGTATCATTCAATATAAACTTACATATGTGTATGTTACTCATGTGTGTGTTGCATTAAATGTTGCAGCGCAGAAGCTGAATGCTTCAAGACGTGCGTACTGAAGACTCTTCAATTTCAATGAACGAAAGAGCGTGCTGAAGTATAGATATGTGTATGTATGTATTGGTATTGGCATTGCTGGTGCTGTGCGTGTGAATAGCTGAGCGCAAATGTGTTGAAAGCATAGTGAAGAGGAAGAGCGTTACTCCTACACACACACACGCATGAAAAGGAAGGCGTAAATGAAGCGGAAATTGAAATGTGTGCAGCAAACGAATGTACGCACTAGATTTTAGAAAGGTTTTTTGTGTTGATGTCTGCGCTGCGTTATATTGTACATATGTATGCACACACACACTCATCGATATGTGTGCCTCTGTCTCTTTTAAGCAGATACAATCAGGTGTTCATGATACACACGCCCACACACTCATACGGGTGAAACTTGAGTTGCTTGCCCAAAAAAGTATGCTACATTAGTTGCTCATCGCAGTCCAATTAAACGAGTTAGTTGAGTCGTTCAGCTTTTTGTTCAGTTCAAGAATCGTTCGCTTCGTTCATTTGAGTCGCATTATCGGCTCTTCTGCTCATGCAAGTTGTAGTTTGGTTATTTTGTCTTACTATTGATTCATAGTGGCTCCTATGAGACCCTTGTTTGTTGACAAGAAACTGCACAACAATTGCATTTAAAAACAAGCAAAATTCATATGAATAGTAACAACAATAAATTTAACAGAGATATTCTTAAAATATTTATTTTGTTTTCATTTCACTAAATCAACAAACTAAAATTAAAAATTGTTTAATTATATCTGCAATGCTCGCTTTTTATACCATGGTGAAGCGGGCAGTTGGAGAGTTGGTGCCAAAGAGAGCATTAACAGTTAAGCTGTTGCTACTTAAACACATTATCTGCGTCTCTCTCCCTCTTCCTTCGCCTTCTGTCTCACACTTTGCACTTGCACTTGCTCAGTCAAAACTATTATTCAACAAGTGCGAGTGGGAGACGAAGATAATTTGCAATTAGGCTCTTGCTGTATCGAAGTGCTAAAAATTCAAGCCACTGTGAAAAGGCTTATCCACAGTTCCAATTAAAAGCGTAACAATGTGTAGCGTAACAATGTGTGTGTGGGTGCATGCGCTGGATTAAGTTGAAGCCCCTACCAAATCAAATTGAATTTTTGCTTGTTGCAGTTGCGCCGCGTACTTTCCATTTTACTCTCCATAATCAGTGTCAATCAACCAGTTGCATGCGCATGCGGGTATATTCGACTATGAGTACTTAAAATTATATTTTGATCTTGACATAGGGTCATGTAGGGTCAATTCTTGCCACGAACTGGTTCCATTCGATTAAGTAATTTATAGTCTAGCTGCAAATTTGCGACTTTGACGCCTATCGATAAATTTGGTTTTAAATGGTAACTTAAGCGACTTACCCCGCAGTTCCTACAGAGTATCTATGCTCTGACATTGGCTTAAAGTCACATGTGATTTTATCTGTCAACTTTTACATTGTTTTCAGTTGCTATTTAGCGCAGTTGCTATGCAATTTCAGTTGCAGCTGCAGCTGCTGTTGCCGTTGCCGTTGCCGTTGCCGGTGCCGTGGCTCTTTCTCGGCTAACAGCGCGCTGAGTGATGAAACTCGTAACTGTTTGTGATAACTTTGGCGTCTAATTAGAGCGCTCATTTTCCAGGAATGGGCAATATTCTGGAAACAAAGATGTTGACATGGCTCCTCTAGCGTTTGCCATGGTTGCTAGGTGCATGTCCTTGAATTCCAATGTATATAATGAATGAGAGCTGAACAACAACAACAATAACAACGACAGCAGCAAACAACTTTTCATGCAAAACGAGAAAAGCGTGCAATTTATGTGCAGCGCTGAGCTGGGAATTCGAAGCTAACCTAACTTAATTTGAACCTAACCTCAATGTGCATTATTTATCACCAGCTGCAGTGGCACACAGCACAGCACGGACGTGTGTCCAGTATATATGCATGCAACAGTTGCAACAATGCAGCTCGTCCATAAACCAGCAAATGCACAATTAATTACGTTGTCGAAACTCGAGCTGAGCTGCATGGATACGCCTGCATGAGTAATACCCCTGGGTCGTCAAGCAGTACTACTGACGCACCGCTTCACATTCAATTAGCTCCAACTCTGGTCAACAAGCTGGCAAACTGACAAACTGACGAACGGGTGAACTGAGTAATGTGTTCGCATATCCAATTGGAAAAATTGAACACTCTTTGCAGTTAATTGAATCATTCGGCCCGACGTCGGCTGAAGTCCGCCATTTTGTAAATCTGAAACACCAAAAGACCGTTAGCAGCCGTAAAATCTATTTCGAATTGCAATTTGGCGCTGACAATCAGTTTTGGGAAATTTACTCCGCCTACTCTCGCACTGCGCTCTCTCGCCTTCCAGTGTTGGAAATGTAGTGTAGGCAATGCTAACACACGGCATATGCATTCGCTGGCTCAACAAGCTGCTAAGCCTAAAGAAGTCATTCACCACCTGATATATAGGTATAGATTATAATGGTTATATATATGCTTGTTTAGGGCAACGACACGATGTAGCTCCCAACCAATGAGCTGTGCATATGCTTACGTGTGCGTGTGTATATGTTTGATATATATGGTATCTGTTAGTCGGTCACTTCCAACTAAAGAACTTTTACTTGTTCAAAAATGATATTAAAAACTTATATTAATTAAACTTATTTTTAAAATTTAATTTTTATTTTTAAATTTATTAGTTCTATATGCTTTGCATGCTGAAAGGCAGCGCATTGTGTAGTCGGTGCAGACCATTGGCTCAACTTCCAAAGCATTTCCAGTGGTTGCTCTTCAGCTTGGGGAAATTTGCTCTTATTTTGCCACTGTTTAGTTCGAGCAGTCGAATATGTTGCCCTCTTGCTCACACACACAGACGCAGACACAGACACAGTGAGAGTGTTGGATAGACTTGGTTCTTAGGCACGCTTAAAAACAGTTACATGTGGGATAACGTAAAGGATAATGCAAAGGATTTAAGCTACTTGCCGTCAATGTCAGTCGCTGAGACGCGTGGTCTCTCTCTCTCGTTATGTATGTGTGTGTGCGAGGTTAAGTAGCATGCAGGTAAATGTGGCCGCGATGTTGCGATTGAGCCTTGGGCGTGGGGCATCTCTGGATTATGTGACTTAGCCAAATGCCGTCTCAAGGGCATAGCAACGAAACACATAGCCTACTTATGAGCGCGCTCTGCTCACGCAGTAGACCATGGACGTGGAGGGAGGGGTGCTGGTATTTGGCAGCTATGATTGGTTATGGCAGGCCGTTCAATTGAGCCCCATTGAAACGTTGGACATAACAATGGATGCGAAGCTGAAGCAACACGATTTCTCGACAATGGACTCGAGCATGACTCATCCAGAACGAACAATATAGCTTAACCTGTGCAGAGGTGGGGGCTGCCGTGGGTGTATTTCATGTGAAACAAAAGTTTTTTTGATGTGTTCGTTTTGTTTTTAAAGAAATTGGGCAAAGTTTTATGGAATTTGTTTTCGGATGCAGCTTGCTTATTTCATTTTCTGTTTTCAAATTTTCCGCGAGGAAGATGAAGAAAGTGTTTTATGGCTTTACATTTATGTTTTTGGAGCATTAGAAACGCGGCTCGCCGACGGAAAACAATA